CCGGAAGATGGGGAGATACCTTAGGCCGTTCTCACATGCTCATAGCATCGCACAAGCTGCGTATGCTCCGATGCAGTATTTTGTCCGCCTCGACTGCCCCTTCGCTATTGTCAATTGCGGCCAATGTCAAACGTTCGGCCTGCAGTAGACGTGCTTTTGCTAGGACATCGCCAGCATTATGGGTAAGGGTTGAAAATAATCTCCAGGCCGCACAGTTGAAACAGAACAAGCACTAGATGAAGACGCAGATGAACGTTGTGTAACTGTTTGCTGGTGATAGACAACGGCTACAGTTACCCCGCTCATAAAGCTGTGGTCACCGCAAGCAGTGTCCTTCATATTTGTGCATAACATTGTTCTGCAATCATGAGCACTCGGCTCCACTCGATTACATTGGAACTGCGTTAATTCCACTCGGGTGTCGGCCGCATAGGGCCACACTGTAGTGGCTGAGCACCAGTACGCAGCCGACGAGTTATTAGTTGGCTGAAAACGCAACGTCAGTTCAGCTTCACCACCTTGTCAGTTAGCAATTAGACAAGCGTGATGATGCCTGCGGCTGAAGGTATGAGACGGCTCAAGTAGTTTAGCTGATTGATTGTTTTTGCATACTTAAGTGGTGAGAAGTTCGCATCGATCAAATTTTATCATGCCCGATAGTAACGCGCTACGAATTTAGAATGCTTCCAAGAAAAGTAACTCATCGCCTCTGAAGTGTAACGTTAGCACGTTTAAACTGAGCACAACGCTGTGTAAAACGACAGAGGTTCGTATCGAGTTCACCTCTAATAGGGTTGCAGAGCAATGTACGTACGTCGTGCACGTAACACAACTGAGGTCATGGACAGTTTGTGGAAACTATTTCCGAAACATATCACTCGGAAACATTAGTTCAAAAGTTAAGTACATCCAGCAGTCGCTCGAATATTGTGAAATAACCTTAGCTAAATAAAGGCGTCAAGTCCCTAAAATTGAAACCGAAGGTGCGGTCCACGAAGGATGTTAGTTAACAATTTTGAATAAATGCACACAAGCAAATCTCTGAATCGTATAAACCAGCCTGTCGGCTCGTCAACCATAATTATCACGCAAGACTGCACCATCTTCCTCACTTCGATACTGAGACTACCATGTTAGGGTGACGGAACTCTTTCAATCGATAACGTAGTCCTTTCCATTGACGGATGAGTGATATTCCCCAAACTCCTCACATCGGGGCAAGACAGACGGATGCCGGGTACTCAAATAGGTTGTCAGCTCACAAGAAGTAACAAAAAGTGGTGAATAAGGAAAACAGATTTGAGCAAGTAACTACTGAGAACCAGCGTAACCTGCAATCCACGAACACCAAATCCATTGGAAGCGAGTAATTCGATATGGAACCATGTCCAAAACTGTCCTTCATCTGCGTCCCTGGATAGCACCTGTAGGATATGTTGTTAACGGGGGCTCCTGTATCTAGCTGCAGCTATATCTTCCATTGCACACTACTAGATCTGCGGGGATGTACTACTTTGAACTCTTTCGGAACACACTCCGTATTGAACACTCAGCCAGTTGGTAAAATCTTAAGCCACTAAAACCATTCCGTCGAATAGGAAAAGTTTGGAGTCGGTGCCGTTTTCCCCAACTCCCGTCCACTTCCTTGCGGGTTAGTTTTCGGATGTAAATCATGACATGGTGATGAAAAACGGCCCAAGTAATAATCCACCGTTGCTTTCCCGAGTGTCATTTTTTGGATTCCCTAGATTATGCCTTGATACAGCTTAGAGGGGAAACCATCTCTGACCATGTCTGACTCATTCTAGTATATGTTAGGTAACGTATCCATGGTGGTCCGTGAGCTCCCTGCTAGAAGCGCACCGTTCTGTCCACTTTTCAGAGCACGCTGATGATTGGACGTTCCCATCCAATGGGTGAAAAGTCAAACTATCACACGTACTAGGAGCCAGCGAGTGATACATTTGAATACGTCTGATGCAACTGGGAAGCCCGCAGGACAATGATTGCACATCCTTCACTATCCAGTGACACAATTTGTAGATTTCTTACAGCATAGGAATAGAGTTGTCATCGCATTAAAACGGTCACGATAACCAACCATAAGTGTCGCAAATGGTAGGTGTCTGAGGCATCACAGCTGCTTGTATTACTGCATTCTTTGGGTAATAAATCTAGTCACCACAGGTGCCACTTCGTGATGCTTAGGTCAACTACTCGGTGCGCGATTCTATCTGGCGCAGCCGTGTGACATGCATTTGTGGAAAGAATAAGATTAGGCCACAGTACCCCATTAGCTAACAAAAGAGTCAGTGAATCAGTTCAAGAGAACTACACATGATTCCAGTAGGTCCAATTGTGCTGCTCCTCAGAGAATCCAGAGAACGTTTCCAACAAAGTCGCTAATACATTCGGAGTCTCACCCTTACTGACTGTGTACCGCAGCATTGTCAATCGGTATACCACCCACTTTCAAACAAACTATCTCATAAATGCATCTGTTCTCCTGCCCAGTGGCGAAACGCTGGTCAACTTGCGTTCACCTATAGTTAATGGAGCGGACAGATGGACAGCCAGCTGCGATCCAATCAGCGATCGGTCGGGTTCAATGAAGTCCCTTGTTTTCCTCGGGTACCGTGTCAAGAAACGATAGAGGACAAAACAGTCAAGGGGGTGTTTGCTGAATATTGCGGCAACGTGTCACACTATCAATTTCTCTCAGTCGAATACGGCCACCAAAGGGCCAAGTGGTCATTCTTGCGTTATTGAGAGTCGTCTTCAATCAACCAATGGGATCGCGTAAGTGGTAAACTATCCTGTGCGCGAGAAATGGTTTTTAAGTGGTGTCCAATTGGCCACATAGTTTAGCACTAAGGTTCAGTTTACCCATACCAAGCGGTTACGGTAATTACAAAGAAAATCCTGAGGTCGAACTGATCTGATTTACAGCCAACGTTCAGTGTGGCATGTAAATTTGAAGGCCAACGGAAAGTCTAACCTGATGTAAACCAACAGAACACAGGGGAAAGTAAACCGTTACGTTATGCTGAAGTGATGGAGCTTAGAAGTACAGTACTGTGCTTGTTCCCCCAAGCGTTCCCCAGATAATTGGGAAAAATACGTAGCCCATCGTAACCAATGCACTCAACTGCTCAGAAATGACAAAGTCGCATATCAGCAGAATACGGCGAAAACTTTCAGCGCTAACCACAAACTGCTGTACAAGTATGTCAATGGACGTCGTAAAGTGAGGCAGGGAATTCCTCCTCTCCGGAAGACTGACGGTCCAACTAGAACAGCCATAGAAGCAGCCAACGCGCTGCGGATGCAACATGTTCCCATATTTCACAGGGTCTTGTATTCAGGCAATCTTCTAACTTTTGTTTTCCCGCCTCCAGGGCTAACCCACATCACTTTTACTGCCGAAGCTAACGTCACTGCACAACCACAGCTCTGCGAGAATCGACACCATTCGCCCAAAGGTACTGGGAGCAACAGCAAGGCAAAACCTTTGGTACAGGTCTTACAGCGCTGCTTAGACCAGAACCCGATTCCTGTGATGTGGAAACTTGGAATAATAACTCCGATTCACAAAGGCAGAAGTAGGTCTGAGCCCTCAAATTACCGCCCAGTGTCCCTTCTCTCTATGTTATCCAAGGTCATGGAATCCATCTTTGCCGATGCGTTGGTGTGTTATCTAGAAAATAGTAACATTACTGGTCCCGAGCAACACGGCTTTCGTCGACAGCGATCGTGCACGTGGTCCGAGTCAGCTGACGCTGGAGAGGCTGCTGATGTGATCTACTTGGATTTGTCGAAGGCGTCCGATTGTATAGATCATCTGGTTCTCCTTTCAAAGTTCCAATATTACGGGATTGCTGACTTTCTCCTGCAACGACAACTAGTGGTGAGTCCGGAGTTCCCCATCTGAACCCACATCAGTCGAGTCAGGTGTGCCCCAGGGCCCAGTTCTTGGTCCACGGTTGCTTTTGGCATTCATCTTTCATGGGATATCGCTTCAAATTTCCTGCTGTTTGCTGACGATATCAAGATATGTCAACGGATTTATATCAGAATTTACTTCAGTGTGACCTAGATACCGTACAGAATTTGTCAACCCGAAATCTGTTACAGTTCTACATGGTCAAATGCAAAGGGACTCTCCATACGACATCAGAGTACCTATTCCCACAAGCTAGGAACGCAAGTACTGCAGCGGTCATCCGCCGAACGCCTCCTTGTTCAGGATAAGTTGGGTTGTTTCAAGCAATCCGCAAAGGCCTCGAAAACTGCTAACCAGCACGTCAGCTTACTACGACGGGCGTTCGGACTAGACACCAGTATTTTCAGATAGATGCTGAATGCGTATGTTGGTCCTCATGTCGAAGACGCAATCCAAGCCTGGCAGCCATGGCTAAAGCACGACCTTACTGCACTGGACCAGCCTCAACGTCGGACTTCTAAGTACGTCACTGGAATGCGCCACCTTCCGTACGAGCAGAGGTTGAAACGTTTGGGAGTATTCAGCGGGCGGTATCGCCAACTACGAGGCGACTTGATCATGACGTATTTGCTCTTACACAATCCAATTTATGTGTGCCGCTCTTTACTGCAACTCAGCACACCAAACTTAGAGGCCACTTCTTGAAATTAGCAGAACCATACAGCCACACCCAGCGTGCCGTAGAAACTTCTTTTCCATTCGTGTGTGTCAACCATGGAACGCTCTCCCCGAATCTGTTGTCTCAGCACCCACGCTATCCATATTTAAAAGTCGGTTGGATGACATACTCTGCCACTTCAATTTTGTTAATTGACACTACACTCCATCCTACTCCCGGAAAATACCTTGGATTTACTTTAATTTCGCCTACTGAAGCTATGGAAATGCTCAGAGTGTAGGGCTAATGAATCAAAAACGTTAAATCTATTATTTCGACAGTAAAACGACTAACTGCTTTTTCATTAACATTTTCGTTAACCCATCAGACCACCCAATTGGGCTTGTAAAGCAATGCTTCTTAACCCGTATAAAATCATTGTTCAATCACAGCGACCCAGGGAATGAAAAATAATAAGAGGAAGAGAAGGGGCACCTAACGTAACATCTAAACGCCGTAAGCAAACATTCAAGTTCAAGGCGTCCAGATCGTGCCCACGCACGGTCACAAACAGCTGGTTATCGTGCGGACAAAAGACGGCATAAGTGACACAGCCTCTTTGCGGCTTTCACTGCCCAGCACCATAAGCAGCGTTACAGATAACACAGTTTCAAGCACACTTTGAACTGATAGTCATTGGTGATTTCATAACATCCGATCGAAGTGAAATAAAGCGGTTGCGCCATCTGAAGATGGAGCGCTATGGTCCGAGACCGAATAGCAGAAATGTCAACATTAGCGAATACAATTGTTTTTCGTTGAGAAACGAAGTTGGTATCAAGCGGATGTGTGGACAGGATGCAGATACACGACCGACATCCGATTGAAAAGGCATAGATAAACCACAAGCGCATAATATTACAGCCAGATGAAAGTGACTCTGCACACAATGCACAGGAAAGAGAGAAAAGAAATGGGGCATGAAACGAGTGAATTAAACTGTTTATGTTGGTTCATCGGGAAGATGGGTACGACGACCCAGTGTTTTCAGACGGAAAGTAGAAAAATATCAATAAATAATTCAGGGGAGAACACGGGGAATAATAAATAGGACGATCGCTGGCAAGAAGAAATGGATAGATAACCCAGTAGCGGGAGGGCTTTGAAGACAGCCCGATCCGCAACAAGATGCGCCCGTCACCGAGGAGAAATTTACAAACCAGACGAAAGGGATAAAGTAAAAATCAATAGGGAATCTGATTTTGCATATATTGTATCACATCGTAGGATTTTCCACGCCAGTGCGCCAGACACGTGCGCAGAACGCGTCGATAGCTAGCTGCCGCTTCACGATCAGTCATCTCGGGGGCGAAACGTTGACGAAGCAGTTTGATGGTCTGACCTCGGAAACAAGGGAGACCGGTGTCAAGCATAAGGGAGACCAAAGCGACAATCGCTTCCTGATATGGCCTCACGGCCAGATACGCTTGCACCGAAAGCGACTCGAACCATTTGAAGGGTGGACTTTCCAGGCGACCGCCCATAATCATCCACATCTCTTTACTCAACTTGATGTCGGGCTCCCAACCGAAATTTCCACCAGGACTGCTCTCGAACATGAAACCGAAATCTAGTCAAAAGAAAAGTTGGATACAGTGATGTACTTGCCTTGGGGGGGGGGCATGAAAGCCAATACAGAGGTGACCTGAGAACGATTCCGAATTTCAGAGAATGCGCGAATTCGTAACATTAGAGAGTGATGTAGACGAATGTAAAGTGATAATGTCAGGTCAACCGGATGAAAGTCATTGTTTAGCCTCACATGATGGCAACAACTAAAGGGCTCATAAATAGGTGGTTTGATAGCGAACCCGCCAGACCATTTGTCAATAGGATGATATTCGTCATTGCATAGTCTATGTACACAAGAAGCATGAAGCATGTGTGTGTGCACCGGGGTGCTTAAAATGTGCCACTCTAACAACGTCTATAGTTATCCTAGATAAACTCAGAGGTAACCCCAGTAATTGCCGAGGTCGCCATACGGTCGATCGTCAGATGAGCAGGCAACCGAAAAGTAACGAAGATGTCTGTCAGCCTGTTCCATTAGAGAAAGATATAGAGAGAAACAGCAGTTTATGTTGTTAACGTGGTGTCCATATACAGCCCCCTGTATTAGCGCGTGCATCAAGGCTAGTGTCTTGCACGAAGAAGTCTAGCCAAGGTCTGACAGCACAGTAGCGTTGCTGGCGAAAGAAGAGCCGAGAGTGACTAAGACATCGTCCTTAACCAGAGCATAAAACTGGGAGGCTGAAAAGCAACTGACAACATTTCGCCGATTATGAGTAAACGAATAACGAGTGCCGAGTCAAGGGTGGTCCTTCAAAGGTGGGTGACTTACTGAGCGCAAGTAAGTCGGTGAACAAACACTTAAACATGTTTTCCGAGTTTTGAATAAATGGTACTGCGTGTCCACAAATAACCACGGTAGTCCGCGTGACATGAGTCTACTGATGGTTCAGCAACAGCAACAGCCAATATCTTGAGGTTTCATCTTGGTGATGCAGTATGCTCAGGACTGATCAGAGAAATGGCGTAGGCGTGAGAATCCAACGGAAGGGGGTCCACAGAATTCACATTTATAGCGCAGAATTGACGACGAGCAAGATGGATAATAACTGACTGGCTAGTCGTTTGGTACATCGAAGCCAAACCATCCAACAAGATAGACTGTGGCATCGCGTGTGTGCCAAACATAGTTGTGTTGCCAAATCATTTGATGCGGCACACAACCCAGTTCAGTGGATCAATATTAGGGGTTAGCTTGATCTGCATATTAGAGACGGCTGAGAACAAGTGCCAACCTGCTGAAATGCGGCCGACCGTGAAATGTGGTCAAAAACGGGGAAACCCAAACGGAACACTATAAGCCACCTAAACCAGTCCCTTCGAATGAGTGTCACTAGGAAAAAATGCTACATGGTTAAATGCACGCCGCCTGTTCATGGTAAGGTGTGGTATCAAGAGCCGTGCGATGCTCAGGGCACGATAAAACGCAAGGACAGTGGGAGTGGAATCGCGCAGAAACAAGTAGCGGAAAAGTGAGTATAGAGGCAACTCGCTGAGTTTCGCCCAACTAGCTACCGCAGTGGTAAGCAACGCCTACTGGGGTAGGCGGCTAACGGGCATGCTAACAAATTCGTCTCGTCTGGACACGCAGTCAGAGTTCAAACGTTGAGTCATTGCAGCAACAGAAGATCTGTCGACAACGCCCTGCTGCTGGGTTTCGGTCTTATTCAAGCAATGATCACATTAGTTACAAGCAACATACATCGCTGGCATTAGTGTTCGGACACGGTCCATCGCTTAGTATCCTTAGCTTTTAGTGTCTGTGTATCTAATCCACGCCTTAACGCTGGTCGTAATGCAACTGTGAACAGCATGTGATATAACCAACAAACTTATTTCCAGTTCACAGAGTTGAATGAGGTCTGGATAAGCTGCAAGAGCCTTGTCCATTCGTATTGTACTTGATCCGGTGATCCACTCACCTTGAGTGTTACAGCCACTCAGAAAAACAAATCGGTCTATCGTCTTCATTGGGGGTTCTACGTCCTAGTGATGCATCTGTCCTCACTCCTGCGCATGGCAGATGTGAGGCACACGCTTGAGAGTGCGGCGCTGCATCAGCCTATTCATCAGCGATTCTAAAATGACTGTGTCCCACTTCAGGAGATTTTCGTCCACATGTTCTGAACTGGTGCCTCTTTGGACCTTCGCCACTGCTAAATGGCATTTCATTTAGTTTCCTGCCATCAGACAGTAGGGTGTAGGCGGTATACACTGTCTAGACGAGCGCCACTGGAGGTGTAAGTTGTAGTCACTGCTCAACCTTTGACCGACTTAAGAGGTCTTTCAAGGTTTCATCCATGTCGGTCATCTATTGCCACAATCAACGTCACTATGCGGCCCCTGACTGCGAGCAAGATGACGTTCGACCACGTCACTATTTTTGAACTAACCTGCGTCCATCGCATATGAGGAATGAACCTGCTCTCGGGAGTTTGACTTTCCAATAGTTTCGCACAATTTCATACAGAGAAACAAACACGCACATACACAATGGCTGTCGCTGCCTCGGAGACGTGTCCCATCGTCGCTCATTTTGATCGGTTATTGGAGCAGTAGGCTAACAAAACTAGCCTTCACTGTTCTAATAGCCGTGCAGCTGCACAGGTTCGTAGCACACAAACAAGCGAAGGCCAATAGGGAGACAGGGAAAAACGGGGTCATCGACTTTGATCGAGGCTCACAATTAAGAGAACGGCCTGCACTAGCATCCACTGTTTATACAATTCGGTTGTATTATCATGATCACAGTGTGATCTAAACATCGTAAAGTCGTCTTACTCATCAGTCCTGTTAGCAAGTTGCAGATTCTCTGCTGAGAATATAATGTGTTCAATTTGGTTTGCAAAACGTCCAATATAAAGTGAAAATGGTATTTATGTTAACATTTCTATCCAAAGATTGACGACTGTGTTTGATGTGTCACTTTCTGTTGCGGATTCAGTGCGCTTCTTTGATTTCTTCAGTAACTGCCTTCATCGATGCGTGATTATGGTAACTAGATGAACCATATCCAGAATATTGTCAAATAATGTGCGTGGACTCACCGATGTGGATTAGATGACCGTGTTTGTCCAACATGATATTTCCATTGTGTCGATCTTTGACTTGTAACAAATAGCAGAACACGCTGTAGGCCGCCATACTGAGAATGAAGTTTCGTCGCGCCTAACATATTGGAAAAGGAAAGCGTTAGGGAATTAAAACAGAGAGCACAGAGTATGGTAATCATGGCTCCACGTAGCTGACCACAGAGAAACAGTTAACTGACGAAGAAGTGAAAGATTATCGGACGTGTGCATCACATATAATCAGGCAGACACTGACAGCCAGAATGTGTTACCGAACGGCCAACTATGGGTAACAAAACAGTAAATTGAAGTCATTGAGGAATAAGAAAGCACTCACGAGCTGAAACGAAGGGGTAGTCTCGTTGCCAAAAGTGCTCAGAAAGTAATCGTACATTCCACTGTCTGTTTGGCGTCCAATTTGGTCGCGCGATTTGCTGTCCGGAACACACTCAATCACGCCCCGCTGCAAAGAAGCAAACAAAGGGAGAGAGTGGAGCGAACTCGTTTTCGAGCAGCATTTGGGGCTAATACTGAAGACGCCAACAATACACGGTGGAGTGTATTTGGTGAACAGTTGCAGTGGCCACTCCCCATAGTGAAAATAGGTGGAAATGAGCTAACGGCATATAGTAAAGTGCTTTAGGCACATATATATATATATATATATTGCGAGTTGCAATCTGAGGTCAATGTATCCCATCTCAAGTGTCTCTATACGCCCCATTGTACTATTGCCACCTTCAGGTAAACGCACTGAGATTCAGACAAATCACCAAGGGTGATTTCGGAACAGCGGCAACACGGTGTGACATCCAAACCAAAATGCTTGGGTATAGGTAGCATTCTACGCACTGATGAATTGGTCAAAATATGCTAGCGGTCAGAACGAATGACCCAACGGAACTAAACAGTAACACACGACGGGCTGCCTGTTGGTTTCACATACCTGTTCATTCTTGCTCACCTCGGACAAGAGACGACAAGACCATCATCATCATGATACAAGTTAGCTAGAGGTGGGCAACATCTCGGCTACTGTGCCGCAATACATAACAGAAAAGAAGGGAACAAAATGCTACAAGTGCAAGCCAGCTGAGCTACCGGTAACGGATGGGCATCGTTCCGGTAAGCTAAAGCCGGCAACTATGTAGCAAAAAAATTACTATGCAAAATTATATGAGACTAAATAGTCAGGGCGTGGTTGGAGGGGGAGGCTAAGAGGGATGGGTGGAACAAAGAAACTCACAGCACGAACGCCATTGATGTCGGCCCCAAACCATGTCAGCAAGTGTATCCAGCCAAACGTGCTCATCGTCTTTCGCCCCCCAACCAGGGAGCCGAGACGCTCCAACCGAGGCCAGCTTCGAAGTGAAGGCCTTCATTCCTCTCGACCAAGTCATCGCTTGGCTACCTCTCCTCTTCTTCCATCCACACCCTCGGCGCGCAAACAACGCACGTCGCGGGAGTCGGTTGGCTGGCATGCGTAACACGTGGTCGAGCCATCGGAGCCTAGTGCGTGAAATAACGGTGCTCAGCGGTTCATTTCGTTTCCCTGTGCCGTAAACAAGGCGTCGAACACGCTCGTCGCTCACGCAGTGTTCCCACCAGATGTGAGCTAAATTGCGAAGGCATCGGTGGTCGAACGTAACTAGCCACTTCAGGTCCGCTGCTTTAAGCCGCCAGGTTTCACAACCGTATAGTAGGGTCCAACGTACCGCTGCATTGTACACTCTACCCTTCAGGGCGAGAGTGATGTCGCGCCGCCGCCATAAGTGGCGAAGGTTAGCAAAAGCACCCCGAGCTTTTGCAATACGGTTCTTGATCTCATCCTCAATCCCACGGGCACTGATATAACTTCCCAGGTAGTTGAATTTTCGAACGAATTCTAGCTGATCTCCACCAAGGGCCAGCGTAGGAGGCGGTCCAGAACAATCTTAGTGGAACGCTTTGCACTTGGAGGGTGCGAAGCAAAGCGGGAAGTGACGGACAGCCAGTGCTAATCTGTGCAGTGCCGCTTGGTACGTTTGTGGGCTGCCACAGATTAGGGCAATATCGTCAGCATACTCCAAGTCAAGAAGTCGTTCACCTGGGTGCAGATCCACACCTTCTAAGTCGTGTCCCGTGAAGGTGATTTCCATGAGTTCGTAAATAGCGAGGTTGAAGAGGAAAGAAGTCCGCGGGCATCCTTGTCTCACACCGCTAGAGATATTAAAAGGCGACGACAGCTTGCCGTAAACCCTCAATCTGCCTGAACTACGCGCGTATAATGCTCGGATAATATTTACATATTTGCCAGGTACACCTTTCCTGAGTAGACACTCTCAAAGTGCATGTCTATCCACCGAATCGAATAAACCTTTGATATCGAGGAACACGACAACGGTGAGCCGCCAATATCAGTCACGGTGCTCCAACAACTGACGTAAACTGCAGATGTGGTCAATGCAGCGAAGACCTCGACGAAACCCGGCTTGCTCTTCACGAATATGGCTTTCAGATGTGGCAGTCGGTCTGTGAAGGGTGACAGAGGTAAGCAATTTGGAGGCGATGGAGATCAGACTGATTTCTCGATGGCTGCCGCATTCCGATCGTGAGCCTCCTTTGAAGATGGGAACAATAACGGAGCGGCTCCAGTCGGTTGGGACAGTTCCCTGCTCTCACAGTTTCACTAGTAACTCGTAGAAAATCATCCGCAAGAGCAGGTCCCCCGAATTTGTAGAGGGTTGGAGCAACATCATCTGGTGTCGCGGCTTTATTTAACTTCAACAGTCCGATCTCACGTTCGACTTCTGAGCGAGAGAGTGAATCCAAAGGGACAGCCCACGGAGCGGGGCGATCAGTGGTCGGCGAGTAGTTTAACAATTCCGACCGACTAAACTGCCTTTCAAAGTGCTCAGCCCAACGCTTCAAGTGTTTTGACAAGTTATGGAAAGGCTATCCACTCTCGTCATGTACAGTTTCATTAACACCAGGTCGTCTGTTGCCCGTTTCCCGTATCAGCCGGAATAACTTACGATGGTTACCAAGGACAGCGGCCATTTCCATCTCTGAAGCACGATGTGACCACCAGGATTCGCGGTCTCTCTTCAGGCTAGCATGAAGTTTTGCCCGGAGCTCTTTGCAAATTTTATTGTGCTCGCTTCCAGTCGGAATATGCCAGCGAACATCGATAACTTCCAGAGACTGCGAAGACATCCAATGTCCATGTTGGTGATTAGACTTACCACATGATGATTTTTCTGCTGCTAGTAAGGACTGATGAATATGAGACCAGTGAGTGCTTACACAACTCGCACGACAGAGTACTTTGATTGGTATTCAGAACAGCTGGTTTCGCCAGTTGACTGGTGTCAATGCAGTCACAACATCGTCTTGGGCGTCCGCCAAAGCGCATCCGCAGGTCAGCACATACAAGTACATGGTCAGTGTCCACACGTACTCCAAATCGAGCGACAGCTCTGGACGCAGCCTCTCCATCAGTAACTTATCACATTGTGATCGATTTGCGTCCATATCCGGTTCGAGACTGGTGGGTACCAAGTCACCCTCTGGCGGGTGCTGTGTCAGAAATAAGTGCTCGCAAGAAATAAGCGGGCATCCTCACACAAATGAAGTAACCGCTCAGTACGGGAACCCACACCATGTTGGCCGCCCAGATGCAGTTCAGCAGTGGATAATTTTTCAACTTGAGCGTTCAGATCCCCAGGCAGCACAACAGTGTCCGAGCTTCTTCTGTGGCGAAGGAGCTCGTTCAGTTAGCGACAGAAGCCGTATTTTACTGAATCATCGCTACAGTTTGTGGGAGCATAGACAGATGCCGAATAGGCACCTGTCAGTCGCGTGCGGCATCGAAACTTTGAACGTGTCAGCCAACCGGGCCGCACACATCCGGCTACTGATTGGAATCCAATCAACCGGAGCAGCTTCAGCCCGGGGACTCAGGGTGATACCAACACCGGCTTGGCCGGTGCTCGAAGCTGCATCGTCACCGGATAGACGCAGTAAGAAAGTGCTGCTGGTGTCACCAGAAGGGGATCGCAAAGTGAGCACTGAGCTCGAGTCTTGCAGGCGGCTCCGATAGCAGAAATATCGATCGAGAGTGTCTCTAATGTGCGGGCAAATGCTGCCTGTTGACCGATCTGAAGCCATGTGCGAACATTGAGGCATGCCAATCTGAAGGAGGATTGAGGGCTCCAAATGGAAGCCGATGAAAAGGGCTTGGCCGCTTGCTTGGACACATGTGATCTGAAACTAGAAGGTAAAAGCCTATCAAAGCAAGGTGGGGGAGGGCCAAGAATCGAGGGGTTGAAAACTGGGGGGATAAAAGTGAAGTTGGAAGGAGACGATAAGAGTGACAAAGCGTAAGACGGGGAATAAGGAAATGGGAAGGCTTGAGAAGTAGCATCCAAACCCCTATCCACTCTGCTCGAAGCAGCAGTTAGGGCGCCGTTTATTATCCTCTGCGGTGGTCAGAGCATCAAGAAATTGTTTGGCGAATGATTCATTGTATTGTGTGGAGAGGATACTGTTAGATTGCTCAGGCCTACACAAGAGAGCGATTAGAGTTCCCAACCAAAGCCTTTGGTTCAAAAGTCTGACCGCAAGGCAGCGGGTTTGGCGGTGGGCTGCAAGGAATCCATTTTAAGGAATAAGGAGCCACCCTCATTCCAACCCCCAACCTGGAGGACCAGGAGGCTGAGTTTGTCTGGCCTCTAACCATTGACCAATCTGGTATGAGTGGCTCTGATGGTGCAAAAAAGCACCACCCAGGATGGCTCAATGGATCACTGAGTCACACAAACCACCGCACCACGGTAAGGTTCAACCACGTTGCCTGCAGTGGACATAATCGCACTATTTCCTTGTTAAATTGAAAAGTTTCTTACTTCATCTCCGTCATTTTCTTTGTGTCATCCTTGTTCTATATCCCGCATGTAAGTCGCGTTTGGGTACAGTTGCATTCCAGAAGGATTAACTACTGACTTGGTGCAATGCAGTATCTTTATTGCACCTGCCTAGAACGGATGAGACACATCTAACATACATTTATTGGGCTTGTTTAACTCGGCCGCATTTTGCGAGGACTTCACGTGTTGTCCATTACAATGTTCTATTCACCATCACCTATGCAATTCTTGCTACCTTCTCAAGTGGAGTCTGGTTCGGTGACATACGGAGACGGTGAGCTAAGGCATCTTCCTCTTTGTATTATTATTCGGCCGCGATTCACATCACTATGTAAGCTCCATGGTAATACTCACCAGACTATGCTGTCTACATTCTGCTCCTTGAAACCGATTTGTAGCTTACATAACCCCAGCTTAGCCAGATGCACAATGCTATAATTAGCATGACGCTTAGAGAGCCGGTGCATCGCAGAATAGTGGTCCAGTCCATCCATGAGCTCATCTGTAATTGACGTGCGCGCGCTTTTTCCGAGCGAATAGTATGCTTGATACGGATA